CTCAAAAACGCAAGCCATATGCACAAAAATAAAACTTAATTACTTCATCATGGCACAGACTATATGAACTTATAGATGAAAAAGAGTAGTTGGGGTTAAGAGCAGCAGCGTAGGGAAATGTCATTAGTAGAAACTGAGAGAAGTTAATGCTCGTAAAACAGACTTACGGAACAGTATCCATTGAATAAATGTAACAAATGCTAATACAAGTGTATTAAAGGCTCAGCTCAATATGAGTATTTCTTCGGGGTGGCTCAGTGCTTCCGCCAAAGCCTCCTGTCTTCCAGCTTCTCCTCCTCAGGCTCTAGCTTCTTGTTCTCACTCCTGATACCAGGAATCCCTGCCTTGCTGTTCCAATGATCCCCTACAGAAAAGCCCCTCAGCCCCGCCGTGGGTAAGGGACTGAAACAGCCCCAGGATCTGGTAACGAGTGATTACGGATCTGAAATGTAAAACCCCAACGAAGGCTAGGAGCCAGGGCTGGAATCTCCCACCAAGGAGAGCCAATGAGCGTTTTCCCAGTCACTGTGGGAGCAAAGAAGGAGCCACACCCCGCCCAGGTCTCATTACTCCACGCATGAAACGCTCCCAGTGGCCCAGCGTAATGAGCATTTGTCCGCTGCATTTTAAGGAGAGCCTGGAGCCTATAGAGTCATGAACTGCCTCGTCAGGAAAACAATCAACAAGTCGGTACAAAAGCAATATGAAATCCTTAAATCGCCTTCACAGCACCTTCCCTTTAAGCAGAGCTCTCACCTCTGTCCAGCTGAGAGGATTGGGCTCTTGAACTCAGCCTTACTGGGGGCTCTGCGGGCTCCCTCCAGCTGAGCCCAGATTGGTTCTCGAGTGACCAGCGGCCCAGGCTTGCCTGGGGCTGTCCCCGTTCTAACACTGAAATCCTGCATCTTGGGAAACCCTCTCTCCCTGGTAAACCAGGGTGGTTGGTCACCTACTTGGTTCTCTCCTTGGCCTAATCCCTTGGCAATGCCAGTTTCTGAACTAAGTCCTCTGCCTCTGTTCTCACCTCTGGAGCACCACTTACTGCAGTGAGTGTGACTGCTTTTAGGCCCATCACTTAGGCGTCTGCTTTTCTAGGGCAGGAACCACAATTGGAGCATCTATACCTCAGAGCCGCGCACAATGCCCGATGCCCAGCAGGTGCCCAGTATGTACCTGGTGAGTGAGCTTTTTATCCCAGAGTGCTGACTGCCTGTTTTGGCCCCCATCTCTTCCTCTCTCTCAGAAATAACGGTTTGTGCCCATGACCACATCAGCTGGCATCTGATTGGCATGAGCTCTGGACCAGAGCTGTTCTCCATTCATTTCAACGGCCAGGTCCTGGAGCAGAACCATCACAAGATCTCCGCCATCACCCTCGTCACTGCTACGTCCGCTACTGCGAACATGACCATGAGCCCAGAGGGAAAGTGGACCATATCGTCCCTCATCCCAAAACACCTTCAAGGCAAGCAACTTTTCCCACAGCCTTGCTTGTGAACGTAGGATCCTTTCCTCCCAGGCACTAACTCTCCTTCTCCTGGGTCTTTTCAGCCCACCCACACTCCAGCCATGCATGCCTTGGTCCCTGAGACCGGAATTTAGAGTCTCCGCTCTTAGATTTAGAACTTTAGCTGGGGATGGAGGAAGTGGAGGAAGTGACAAAGATTTTTTTTTAATTAAGCAAAAGCTGAAGAGGTCTCTACTTCCTTGAAAGAAAAAGGAGGAAGGAAACAAATACATACGTAGAGATACTCTTTCTTGGGGTATTTAATGTGTAGCTAAAGGAAAAGACAAACATCTGCGTACTTATAGAAGCACCAAGTTACAGGAAGTGTAAAAGTTGAAACATGAAAAGATTGTCCTTTATAACAAGATGAGCACAAAGACAGGCACAAAGATGGATGGATGTGAGTTGCACGGATCAAACACAAAATCTATGCAGCTGAGGAGTGGCCTTGAAAGAACTCTTGTGAATTCTGGGTGGAAAAGTCAGCCCAGGTTGATACATGGTCTCCCATAAATAAACAGCTAATTGTTCTGTTATACATTGTTGCTTTAAACAGTTGGGAGGAGGGTTCATGCAAACAGAGACGAAAAGGTAACTAAATGATATTACTATAGGAAACTATTCTGTTACCAAAATACTGTGTATCAGCAAAACATATAAGATACAGAGACTTCGTGGGATCGTTTCATTTCCTTTTTGCACTGAGCAGTCAAAATTATATTTGAAGTGATGAAACTGGAAGATAGAGACCTAATAATAATAATATAAAACTAACATTCTTGAGGTTAAGTGCTGTTCGTATGAGCTTATTTAGTTTTTAACAATTTCATATAGTGTGTGCTAGGATTATTTGCGTTTTAGAAACACAGGGACAGATGACAGGAAAAATGACAAATTAATAAGACCTACACCGTAAGGTTCTAAGGGTCTGGCAACGACAAATGTTCCTTCTCTGGAGTAACAAGGGCAACCTGCCGCGTATTTTCCCTACCCCACCCTCTCTTTCCCTGGCTTTTATTCTCCGTCCCCGTCTCTCCTGCACTAAGAGCTCCCAACCAAACTGTCTAACACGCGCCTGCGCATTACTTACACTGTGATTATTTAAACCTTCCACCAATTTATGTAAAAGATGCCATGTTTTGATGAGCCTTCATTTCTTCTCTCTAATCCTTTCCCTGTCTTTATGTCCTAACTCAGCCGGGATGCAGGCTACCATACACATTAAAAACTGCGCCAAGAAAACCCGGAAACCTAAGACGCTCACACGCGAGCAGAGGCGGCACATGAAGAGGTGGGAGTACTTCATTGCTGCAGAGGAAGTCATCTGGGACTACGCGCCTGTCATACCAGAGAACATGGACAAGTGAGTTCCAGGTTCTTCCCACTGCTTTCCACGGGGTCCCGTATGCCTGGGGTGAAACATCAGGAGTTGACAGCTGTCAAGGGAATATGTGTTTTGGATTCCATGTCAGGTCTTCATGTTCAAATCAATCTGGAATTACCCCAAATGCACCACAGGATCTCATGATGATGATGATGATGATGATGATGATAATGATAATAATAATAATAATAATAATAATAATAGAAGTAGTAGTAATCGCAGCTACCACTTGTTGAATATTTGCTAATGCCAAGCACTGTTAAAACCTTTCTGAGGGCTTTGCTTTAACTCTAGAAGTTAGAAATAGCTCTTACTTATTTCGTAGATTAGTAAATGGGTCAGAGAGATTAAGACATCTGGAAATTCAAATCGATCCTAAACACATGAAAAATACTCAAGCTCACTCACAATAAGAGAAATCCAAATTAAACGTCTATGAAATACAACTTTCCACCTATCATACTCACAATCCCGGTGACATAATCTGTTGGCAAGGCCGTGAGAAACAAGCATTAACATCTATTGCTGGTGCAAGAGTAAACAGGAAGAGCCTACGTATCAAAATCATAAATGCCTACACCCTTTGACCCAGCAATCTCACCCTAGGAATTACTAGAGAGATATGCTTCACAGGTGAAATGATGCATGTACAGGATACTCACTGCTGCACTGTTCATAGCAGCAAAAGATTGGAAACAACCCAAAACATCCATCAGTAGGAAACTGGTTTAATAAATTGTGGTGCATCCATACATGGGATACTGTGCATCTGTTTTTAAAAGGAAGCAGACATGCTCTATGTACGAATATAAAAAGTTCTCCAAGATATACTGTTAAATTAAAAAGTCAAGGGAGCCAGATGTCAGACTAGGAGGTCCGAATAGGAGGTCCCCCACTTGTATACCCACAGCAACAATAATTTGGCAGCTAACCACAAACAAAAGTGCCTTTGCGAGAACTTTGGAATCCAAATAGGAACTTGCAAAATCCCAATGAAAGCCAAGATGATGGAGGGCTGTTCTGAGAAGGCAAGTCCATGCTCAGGTGGTAGGTTTGCTGTGGTCCTGGTTACAAACCTGGAAACAGCCTCATCCCTTATCCACTCAGCTTCAGCCCCACTTGGCCTTGGTCCTGCTACAACACCATTTGATAAGGGACCCAGGAGGAGTCACAACTGTCCATGACCCTGGAGGCTGGCCTGAAGACCTTGGTCTCACTGCACATCTTGAAGTGGCCCTGTAACCCAGCTCGAGTCCTCCCAACTGCAGTCCCACTCAGGGACCTTCCCAGTGACTTGGTGAGAGCCCTCCCAAGGACCAAATGGGAACCGTACCCATCTACACACCTGGTAACCGGCCCACCATTTGCAAACTCAACCGAGGATTTTGAAGATCTACAAATTGGAGATCTACAAATTGCCTGACAAATGCTTTAAAAGAATCATCTTAAAGAAGCTCATGAGGTGCAAGAGAACAGACAGGCAACTAAACAAAATCAGGAAAACAATGCATGAATAAAAGGAGAAGGTTAATAAAGAAATAGGAACCATTAAAAAATAACAAAAAAATAAAAAATAAAAATAACCAGACAGAAATACTGGAGCTGGACAATACGATGACAGAACTGAAAATTTCAATAGAGGGCTTTAACACCAGAGTCAAAAATGCAGCAGAAGAAAGATTCAGCAAACCCAAATATATGTCATTTGAAATTATCCAGTTACAGAAATAAGAAGAAAAATGAATGCATAAGAGTGAAGAAAGTTTACAGGAATTATGGGATATCATCACAAGAACTAATACACGCATTGTAAGACTCTGAAGGAAAAGGAGGGAAAGGGACAGCAAAGCTCGTTTAAAGATAATGGCTGAAAATGTCCCAAATCTTGTGAGGGATGTGAATATACAGATTCATGAAGCTCAAGAGTTACCCAAAACATGATCAGCCCAAAGAAGATTACCCGAGACACATTATAATCAAATTGTCAAAAATCAAAGACAGAGAATTCTGAAGGCAACAAAAGACAAGCAACTTGTCACAGACAAAGGAACCTCCATAAGGCTATTAGCAGATTTCTTAGCAGAAAACCTTGGAGGCTAGGAGAGTGTGAGATGATATATATTCAGGGTGCTGAAACAAAAAGAAACTGCCAACCAAAAACATGATACTATACTCAGCAAAGCTGTCCCTAGGAAGTGGAGAGATAGCAACATTCCGCCAGGCAAAGGAAAGTGGAGGGAGTTAACATCACTAGACCAGCTTTACAAAAAATGCTAAAGAGAGTTTTTCAAGTTGAAATGAAAGGATGCTAAGTAATAACATGGACCATCTGAGACCTAATATACAGTGTGGCGACTATAGTTAATAATACTGAATTGTATACTTGAAATTCATTAGGGCAGTAGATCTTAAGTTTTCTCACTACATACACACACACACACACACACACACACACACAGAGAGAGAGAGAGAGAGAGAGAGAGAGAGAGAGAGAGAGAGAAAATAGTAACTAGGTGAGGTGTGATGCAAGTGCTAATTAGCTTGAGTGGTAACATATATACATATATAAGTCATCACATTGTACACCTCAAATATATACATTTTTTTTGTGGGTTATACCTCAGTAAAGCTGGGGAAAATGCAGAAAAAAAAATTTAAGGCGTAGCACAGAGCATATAAATAAATGCCTTTTGTTAAATGAGTGAGGGGATAAGAATATTTATATTTGCAAGTTATATTTGCAAGTTTACATAAAGATTCTCTGGAATTATACACATGAAATAATACAAGTGAATACTTGGAAAATGCAGGGAGGGTTAGAGAGGTGGGGTTGAGGGGATATAGTAAATGAATGAGAGTTTTCACTAATCGAAATCATTTTAATGTGTTTGCTATTCAAAACAAATAACTGAGAAAAATAATTGCTCAAGATTATATAAAAATTGACAGCACTGAGATAGGAATCCAGGACTCTCTGGCAACAGTCAGTGCATTTTATTATGCAAAATAAATGCATGAAATGGATACATCCTATCATGGAGCTTCTGCTTTTGCAAACTAAGGTAACAAAGAGGGCCAAGGAGAAAGGTGTTTTTTGTTGCTGTCCCCAAATCATTTATCGCAGTGCTATGGAAGATGGGCGAAGGTGGGTGATTTTCATTTGACACCAGGACCAGGAAGATGGGAGAGGGGATAGATCAACAACACAGAACTGTGTCTAATAAAGATAGTGAAAGCTTCCTGGAGTGGGAAAGTGCTTTTAGAGACTGAGAAATACCTCGAACACCCAATAAAATTACCATAAAGTAAGCAACAGGAAAGACTTAAGAAAAATTCAGTGTATTCATCCATTAGACCTTTCCCTGGAGCTATCTGATGTCTTCTCTAGCGATCAGAGTGACAGGAAGCCCTACGTAGTGACTATGACTTTCAGTGGTTGAGGAGACAGAGTATAGGTTTCCAGTTTTCTAACTAGAGGGAAGGTATCAGGGCTTTGCAAACCATAGTAAGAGCTTTTTAGAAAACTAGATTTTTAGCTAATCCAACGGCAGAACTTCTAAGCACAAGGGTTTCCCCATACTACGGGGTCTCTACTTGAGAAAAGAGTTTAATTTCTTTTTTAACTTTATTTCGCTTAAGAAAATACAGATCTCTGCATTTGGATAACTTCTCAAACCAAATTGGAAAACATTATAAGAAGGTTGTGTACAAACAGTACCAAGACGAGTCATTCTCCAAACGCCTGGAGGATGCCAATATCAGAGAAGATGGGATCCTGGGCCCTATTATCAGAGCCCAGGTCAGAGACACACTCAAAGTAAGTGCCAGAAATATAGAACCATGGGGAAGAAATTCAATAGTGAAACACAGGTTATAAATACTGGCTATTTTAAAAAGAAAAATGTGTCCACATAATTTTTCAATCAAAGGCAACTCATAATCTTTATTTAGTATTTGCACTTATTTATAGCCTACCTCATAATACAAAGAATCTGAGACAGTTTATTAAATTATAAAGGAATAAAACAAAGAGTCAGTATACTTGGGGTGAACAACATGGGGACAAAGGAAATAAAACCAAGGATGAGTATAATGAAACACATACCACTTGCTCCTAGAAGGCTGTCTGCAAATTTTGTCCTGAGCTTCCTAGCAGCCAAAGTAAGAAGGGAAATATGTCAGGGCAAGGGTCACGGTAGCCACAAAGGAAGCACAGAGATTGGGGGAGAATTTCTCCCACGGATCTTTGAAAACAGGATGCTGTGTGATGCAGTGGATGGAATCCTTGATAACATCCCTACAGTTGGTACAATAAATTAAAAATCTGCATAGCCTTTAAAAATAATATTTCTCATTAGAGCTGAGAACATCACAGCAAACACAGCTGAGTGAAAACAATACTTCACTGTGGGCTACGCAGGTAGTTCTCTGAAGACTAGTCTCTGGTGAAGGTAAATTTAGATATGTACAAAGAGCTCTGAGTGTTCTTCAGAAAGTTTTCCTTAAATGTTATGTCACATCCTCAAGCTTTGTATATGAACTGGGAAGCAGAGAATTGAAGGCTCCAATCCTTGGCAACCTAGAACGCAGTTCATCTACAGATAAAGGGTGATCCCGGTGCTCTGGCAACCAACCAGGCAGGAGCTAAGATGAAGGCTCTCTTTTGAAGCTCAAGGAGCCTAACCCACTAGGACTCCTGTGTGAATAATGCTTGTCCCTTCAGCTCTGCATGGGGGTGAACTAAGAGGGTATCTGCAGACAAAGCCAATTCTGTTCATTTGAAGAGGACAGAAAGCAGCCTCGCTCTGTTCCTCTGTCCCTTCCCACACTTCTGAATCCCTCAGGTGCTCTAAGCGAGTATCCATACACCTCGCACTGGAAGTTTAGAACCTGGCTCTTTGCTGCGCTCCTCAAGAAGGTGGCTTCAAGGACAGTGGTTCTAGGAGATCTGGCGGGCTGGACGAGGGGAGCAGATGTGAAGGCAGAGGCGGTCGGAGCTGAAAGTAGAGGGGAAGGGGAATGGGGTCCAGCTTGGAGAGGGCGACATATTGTGAGGACAATGTCGCTTCTAAGGTCAGACTTCTCTTTCCGTTTTCCACCTTACTATGCAAGTGAAACTCTCAGATGCTTCTCACAGGTGATGCAGAGGTTGCTGCTCAGATAAGCAGAACTAGTTTGCACATGCGCGCGCGCACACACACACACACACACACACACACACACACACCCCCCTCATCCAACAAGCAACTGTGCAAAGTTAGTTAGCATCCTCTATTAATTCTCATGATCAACCTTCAATCCTGAAATAATGAACTTGAATTCACTTTGTAGATTGTGTTCAAAAACATGGCCAGCCGTGCCTACAGCATTTACCCTCACGGAGTGACCTTCTCTCCTTTTGAAGATGAAGTCAACTCTTCCTCCACCTCAGGTTGGAACCTTTCCCTTCTACTGAAACTACTGACCTCTGAAAGGCTACCGTATTTTTCTGCTCTCCTGGTTGCCCAGTAGTATAACCGCGCAGTCAGGTAGTGTGCATGGAGGCGTGTCCTACAAGTCACAGCCAAACCTGCTCCCTGGAGGGTTTTGTTTACTCTGGTGACAGCTACAAAATATGGTGTCCGGTCAGTGCCACAGCGGCCTCTAGTGGAGCAATAGCTGATGACTACGTGCTATCCAGGGTTCTGTGAAGTGGAGCTTCATATAAAAAGAATATTCCTTTCCCAATATTAATTGGTTGTAATGAGCGTTCAATTCTATTATTTATTCATTCATTTATTCATTTTCGTGAAATAATTTTGGAAAATGGACACAATTCTGACCATATTTTCTTTCAGGCAGTAACACCATGATCAAAGCAGTGCAACCAGGAGAAACATATACTTACAAGTGGAACATCCTAGAGTCTGATGAGCCCACAGACAGTGATGCCCAGTGCCTAACAAGACCATACTACAGCAACGTGGACATCACCAGGGACATTGCCTCTGGGCTGATCGGGCTCCTTCTAATTTGTAAGAGCCGATCCCTGGACAAGCGAGGCATACAGGTATTTTGTCCTTGATGTAAACTTTCAGCAACTCCAGGAATTTCTTCTGGCTGCAACAGATTAGGTCTCCTTGCTAAATAATCGGGTTTTTCTAGAGAACAGAAAATATTAAGTAGTCCTCTTTAACGTGAATGTGGTAAAGTTTACTGGTTTGGTTACTTTTTTGTCTTGCTTATTTTCATGTGGACTCTCACTGCAGAGTCAAGTTTACAGTGGGACACCATATTTTGTTTCCATATATAGTTTCCAATTCCAGGTCTGTTGTTGTTGGCTATGTGACAATCAAGTCGCTTAGCTTCTCTTAATTTCTTCTATTTATCAAATTGGTAAAACCTAAAAATCCTAAAAATTGTACTGGGTTATTTGGGGGCTCAGTGAGATACCACCTGGTAAAAGTGTAAAGTTCTGTACCAACCCTTGTTATTTTTACATGTCTGCACTAGAGAGAGATACACTGGAGACATCACTTCTAGTGAGATTGGACCGAGACGATGGTTCATCTTCAGTGAGACTAAATTATACAGACGAATGTGAACAAGATATGGATCTTCTGACTTAATGTCCACTGAACACTCTCATATTACTAACTTAACATTCACAGACAATTAGGCTAAGCTATAATCAAAAAAAGAATCATGCCAAGGCATACAAAATACATACATGCCTAGAAAAATCAGGAACAGACCTTTGGAAGGCCCTGGTTTGCCAAGCTGGGAAAGGACACAGGTGGGGAGAGAGAGGTATAACGCTCTCCTCTCGCAACCTCCTGTTTTAGCTTCTGCAGCTGAGGAGCTGAAAGATGTTCAGTCACAGAGACAAACAGAATTCCAGCTGCCGTGATGCAGTGGTGTTTCTATTAGGCATTTCAGTCTCTGAATTTTCTGACCGGCTGATCATTTTTGCACAATACCTTTGGCTTCTGGGATCCCAGCGGCTGCGTCCCTTTGGTGTCTGAGACCAGCTCAGGGCTGCGGGTCTGGGACTGGCCTGTGACTCACTGAACACGCACTTTTACCCCGCAGAGGGCAGCAGACAGGGAGCAGCAAGCTGTGTTCGCTGTGTTCGATGAGAACAGAAGCTGGTACATTGAGGAGAATATCTACAAGTTTTGTGAAAGTCCCGACAAGGTGAACCGGAATGACCCCAAGTTTTATGAATCGAACGTCATGAGCAGTAAGTCCTGGACTTCTCACTCCTGTGGCTGAAGCCCGGCTGTGCCTGGAGGCGGGCAGAGACACGGATTAGAATCCAGTCACCTGTCGGCCTCGCTCCCATCCAGGCGTTCGGTGATGAAGTCACTGGGTGACATTATAGCAGCCGTTTGACAGCAAGCGGTCAAAAGCTTGTTATCCTTACGAGTCTTCTCGGTTTCCTGCTCTATGTGCGTGCGCATGCCGTCGTGCCTGCTCTGGGCAGAGAGCGGCAGAGCGAGGGCTGGGGGTGGCGAGGGAACGGGCTACAGGCCTCGGCGGGTGGTACCTGGGTATTTACACCGGGCGCAAGGTGAGTACTCTTTATGGGCAGGCCGGAAGCCAGGTAAGTAATCCCAAACCGGATTGTCGAATCAAACCAAGAGGGTAAGTGCATGTGGGGGCCAGGAGCTTTGGAAAGTGCAGAAGAAGTTCAGAGTAGAAGGAATTCCCAGAGCCACAGCTCAGGCACGTGCTGCGATTTCAAGTCCAGTGCCCAGAGCCACTGCTGTGGGAGGTCAGTTTCATCTTCCAGTCACGAGTTAGATCAGGTAAAGCTTATCTCAGATAATCACGGCTTTGACGTAACCAAATTAACCCTGGGACGTTTATTTCCCATATAACTGGACACATGCCCTGGTGGGGACAGGCCTGGCCTTTTAACAGCTTTTATTCTTTCAGCAATCAACGGCTATGTGCCTGACAGCGTACCCACGCTAGGATTCTGCTTTGATGACACCGTGCAGTGGCACTTTTGCAGCGTGGGAATGCAGGATGACATTCTGACCCTTCACTTCACTGGGCACTCGTTCATCTACGGAAAGAGGCACGAGGACACCCTGACCCTCTTCCCCATGCACGGGGAGTCTGTGACTGTCACGATGGATAACGTTGGTAAGAGCCTGGGCGTGGAGAGAAGCCTCTGGTCGCTGACGTCTGCTGCTCCCTCCAAACTCCTGCAGCTCCTCGGCTGATCTCTCATCAGAACCCCCTGCCGGCTTTCCTTTCAATGCTTCTCATGATTTCTACTTGGGGAATTAATTACTTCAATGAGTCCAGTCCTTTCACGTGGGTCCTATTTATCCCTCTCTGGGCTTAAGTGAGAAGTAAAGATACACGCCCACAGAAAAATAAGGTGTAGCTTTGAGGAAGAAGTATAAGCATTCAGTCACCAAAGAACATCTCTTTTATCGAAATGCCCTTTTCAGTTTTTTAAACCAACCGTCCCACCCCAGGGTTAATGATCTGGAGATCATTATGGAGCCTCAGAGGCTGGCACCACCGACAGCACCGTGTCCTGGGAAACCCGGGGCTGTGGAACTCATCAGATCTGGGTTCAAGTACTGCCCCTCAGCAGAACTTGAGGGGCAGAACAAGGTAACAAGGTTATCTGTGTAATCTTGGGCAAGTGACTTAACTTCACTGAGCCTCAGTTTATTCAGCTGAAAAACAGAACAACCACCCCCACAGACTCGCTTTGACCACTAACTGTGGTACGTGACAGCATTCAGGAGACACTCAACAAGTGGTAACTATGGGAGGCCTCCCGGGAAATCTTCTTTCTGGGGGTACACATCACCATCCTGCCCCCAACTCCAATTCTCAAACAAGATGTTTATGAATTTCAAAGTCCATTTTGTTCTCAATTCATCCCTTTTAAAATATTGGGTTGTCGGGAAAGTCATGACGCATTTTTGCAACAAAAAACATAGAAAAAATACATCATGACTTTTCCGACAACCCAATATATTTGGAAATAGTGACTCTCCAGCTCTCTATGAGAAAAGTTTTTTTCTCCCTAATCTCCCCTGGCTGCCACTTTTGGTTTATAGTCTGTTAAACGAGACAAGGACACTGATCACAGGCTTGGATGTCACAGCAATGTCAAATTGCTCAAAAGTTTCCTAAGCACTACTCTCACGTTTTCTATTTCTGTCATCGTGGGGCAGCCAGTAATCAACAGTTCTCAAACCAGCAGTGGCCCACAGACCACACTGGAATGCCCCTGACTATTGGTTGGAAATTACCTGCCACCGGGGACGCTAGGGTTTTTTATGTCTTTTTCTGGACTTAGAGCTCTCTATTCTTTCTGTCTCTCTTCTGTAGGTACTTGGATGTTAACCACCATGAATTCCAATCCAAGAAGCAAAAACCTACGGCTGAGATTCAGGGACGCCAAGTGTAACCGGAACGATGATGAAGACGTATATGTAATATACGAACCTCCAACATCTTCCACCATGACTACACGGAAAATGCGCAATTCTTCAGGAAACCAAGAAGAAGGGGATGACGCTGAATACGATTACCAGGACATACTGGCTTTATCATTAGGAATTAGGTCATTCAGGAATTCATCACTGCATCAGAAGGAAGATGAGGTCAATCTCACTGCCCTTGCCCTGGAGAACAGCTCTGAATCCCTTCCTCCAAACACTGAAGCAGCTATTGGTTCAAATTCTTCTTCCCCTAGTAACATTAGCAGGTTCATTGCAGGTAACTTTGCAGAAGAACCTCGCAAAACCCTTCCTCACCCAGAAGCCAACACAGTGGGTCCCCACGTGAGACACATGAGCTTAGAAAAGAGCTCAGCTCTCAACCTTTCCACAGCAGAGCATTTCAGCCCTTATTCTGAAGACCCGATAGAGGACCCTCTAGATGCAAATGTCACAGGGATAAACCTACTTCCGCATGGTGCAGAAGGATTCAGAAGTCAAGGACATGCTAAACAGAAGGGATTTGAGGCAGGAAGAGATGGAGCAGCAAAGCACAGGCTCTCCCAATTTCCAGCACATAAAACTGGGAGACATTCAAGCCAAGGCGACTCTTCTTCTAGAAGGGGGCCGTGGAAGGACCTTCCCAGGCATCAGTTATTCTTAAAACAAATGAATCTATCGAACGTTTTCAACGGGAAATGGCATTTGGTTTCTGAAAAAGGTAGCTATGAAATAATCCAAGATGCTGATGAAGACATGGCTGTTCGTGAGCCACTGAACAGCCCCCAGAATGCCTCAAGGACTTGGGGAGAAAGCATTCCTCTTACAAACAAGCATGGAAAGCAGAGTGGCCACCCAAAGCTTTCTGGAATTCGTTATAAAACTCTACAAATAAGACAGGATGGAGGAAATAGTAGATTGAAGAACAGCACTGTTTTCATTAAGACGCGAAAAAAGAAAAAGGAAGAGAAGCTTGCCCACCACGTTCCTCTGTCTCCAAGGAGCTTCCACCCTCTAAGGAGAGGGGCCAACGTCATGTTTGCAGACTTACTTCACAAGTCTAATGAAACATCTTTCCCCACAGACCTCAATCAGACATTCCCCTCTGTGAATCTTAGCCTGATAGCCTCACTTCCTGATCGTAATCAGAATTCCCCAAATGACACCAGTCAGACAAGCTCCCCTCCAGACCTTCATCAGACAATGCCCCCAGAGGAACACTATGAAACGTTCCCTATTCAAGACCCTGATCAAACGCACTTCACCACAGACACGAGCCACAGATCTCCAGAGCCTGGCCAGATGCTCGACTATGACCTAAGAAATAAGCCCTTCCCTACTGACATTGGTCACACGCTCCCTTCCTTAGGACTTGAAGTCTGGCAGACAACCCTCTCTCCAGACCTCGGTCAACCATCCCTCTCTCCAGACCTCAGCCAGACGACCCTTTCCCCGGACCTCAGCCAGACGACCCTTGCCCCGGACCTCAGCCAGGCGACCCTTGCCCCGGACCTCAGCCGGGTGACCCTTTCCCCGGACCTCAGCCAGGCGACCCTTGCCCCGGACCTCTGGCAGACATCACCTCCTCCAGACCCTGATCAGATGTCCTATACTTCTGAATCCAGTCAGTTATTGCCTCTTCCAGAATTTGGCCGGACTTTCCCTAATGGAGACCTTGGTCAGATGTCATCTCCACCATCTCGTCCACTAAATGACACGTTTATACCACCGGTTGTGTTAGGCTTCAGCGGCGATGACGGAGACTACATTGAGATTGTTCCCTGGGAGAAGGAAGAGAGCAGCGAAGACGACTATGTTGAAATTGATTTTGTGACCTATGATGACCCTTACCAAACAGATATTAGGACAGACATCAACTCCTCCAGAAACCCCGACAGCATTGCAGCCTGGTATCTCCGCAGCAACAATGGAAACAGAAAAAATTATTACATTGCTGCTGAAGAAATATCCTGGGATTATGCAAAATTTGCAAAAAGGTTTGGCCGGTTTTCTCCTATATTCTCATTTATCCAGTATTGGGGAAAAAAAAGTAATCACAACTGTCCAAGGACATAATTCTGGGCAAATGATGTTAAGTATAATTAGTTCCCCTATGGCAACTTGGCTTATAACTATTTCCTTTGTCAGTTTCAAGACTAACATCCCTCCTTTAGGTGACATCAGGAAAATATAAGAACAGTCATTGTGAGAAGTCTAAGATGTTCTAAAGTTAACACCCACTTCTCTCATCACAAATGTCCCTACTCTCTCCTCCTCCTCCAGTGCAGGAGCCCCGCCCACCCACAGGTATTCGCTGCTCTAGTTCACTGACATCAGCCTGAAATACAAGTGTGTGATGTAGAAATCTCCTTTTGCATTTATTTGTTTACCACAAACATTTTTAAACTGTTTACTGACCAGTATAAAGTATACAGCATCTTGGTGAAGTTTAACTTCAATTCCATGAGCTTCCAGAAGCAGAGGCCAAGCATATAAACTAGTGCAGAAAGATTATACTTTCCACTGAGGCAGTCACTAGATAATGATTTACCTTGATTTAAACTTGATTTTTTAACTTGGTTTATAGAATCGCTCATTTAATAACTCTTCAGGGAATGCGTATTCTCTCCGAGGCATGATGCTAAGTGCTGAGACTATAAGAATAGAAACACATGTGACCCCTACCCTCAGGGAGCTTATGTCTCGGTGGGCAGGTAGATGTGACTAAATCTTTCCATGAACGTAACCATGATAAAGACCAAGAAGGAAAATATATGGTGATATGAGAGGTAGGGGATCTGACGCTGAAGAGGCAGCGTTTAAGTTGAGATGCGAAGATGCATAGGAGAGAACCAGTTGGAAAGTGGTTCTAGACAAAGGGAACGGCACGATCAGCTGAGCCCCATGGAAGAAGGAAGCCCCGAAGCTATAGGCTGTGCAGCTGGAGCTCTAGAAGAGGGTAGGCAGTGAGGAAGCATTTGGCTAGCTCTGAAGAGACCAAATGTCACTAGGCTTTGTAGGTCATTGGAAGGATTTTGGTGTTTAACCCAACGGCAATGAGAAACCCTTCAACAGCTTTAGGCCATTCCTAGCTTCCTGGAATATGTTAGTTTCTTTCCTGGATCTTGTTACGTTCATCTTTTAAGTGAATGAGCTATACCAAGCGACCCCCAAGGTCCTCTTCAGTTCTAACATTTTAGGGTTCCAGCCACTCTTCAGCCATAGAGTTGAAGGAGGTGATGCAATTTTGTAAGTGGCCTGACTTACAATAGAAGTCTCTAAGGGATCCCTATACATTTTAAAAGGATAACTTTCAATTAAACTTTGCTTAAGGGTGAAAGCCATATTGGGCTGGGCTCTATATTCTGGAATGACAGTATAGAGAAAGGAGAGAGATGGGGACGAGGGGCAAGGCTTAGTCCACTACAGATTCTCAGGGACGTAGCATTGTAGCTATGCTTCAACTGTCTAAATATAGTCAACAGCTCTTATAAAAGCTAACTGTCAAACTAATAAATTAAAAACCACAGTGTAATGAGAGTAAGCAAACACAGTGTAACGTGACTCACAGACAGTATTTCATTAATCTGATGCTTGACATTTCCACATTAGAACTCACTAGTTTAAAACACTTTCTCCCATGACATCCTATTTAAATTCAGTACCCATTACTATACGAGAATAACTAGTTCATCTGAGGATTTCTAAGCCAAGCCCTAAGGGGGTAAGATTTAGGGCCTTTCCAGGGTGGAAAGGAATGGAATCAGTTCCTTCAAATCTTATATCCTGTTCCAGATATACCACCTACATTAATGGCAGTCAGTTGTTTTCATTCCTATGTGTTCTGTGAGACTCTTTGTTATGCTTGGAGTCTGGAAGGATGAGATTAATAGGGTAGAAAGGCTGGGGAAAAGGTAGAGTGGGATTCTCTGTTGGTGACTCATGGTTTATAACAAATACTATGAGACTGATGGATAAGCTTTTGGCCTTTTGGCATGGCTTGGGAAATTGAAGAGTCAATGGGAAAATTTGATGTGCTCTGGCCCCAGACTGAACAGCTGGTGAACTACATGAGGAATAATCTGATTTAGCAAAGGAAATGTGAGAAGAGTGTAAAACACCCATCCCTCCAGTGGCCTTCACAGGGGTGGCCTTCTAAGTCAGCTAACCATGGTTACCTGATAGCCCCAAGCCCTGGCACTGTCCCATGGCATGGCTTTGTCTGTTTGTGATTTTAAAATCTGCTATGGTAACATATGATTATATTTGTTCACTCATTGATGCATTAAACAAAAATTTATTAAGTGCTACTATGTGCCAGATAAACCTCCTAGACACTGGGAATAAAATTATGAGCAAACTAGACACAATCCCTGATATCATGGGGCTTTCACTCTAGTGTGAGAGTCAGACGTTAATAGAGAATCTCATAAGTAAATGATACATAATTTACTATCTACTACAGAAATAGTATAAGAATACTATCGGAATTTAATATATATTATATATATAACGTTATATATATATATATAATATATACGCACGACATACATACACACTGTAGTAATACTACAGAAATGAAGGGACACTACAGAGAGATTTGACCTAACCTAAAGGAAGATAGGAGGACTTACCTAAGAAATGACATGTGACCTGGAGGTTGAAGGATATTTACTGGCTTGTGCTTTTAGTCATTTATTTTTTTCATTCATTTGTTCATCAAATAATTATTAATTGTCTTCCCTATGCTAGATGTTATATTCAGAAACTATTATTCAGATAATTTCCTATATTGTTTGAGTCGTCTTTCACTTATTGTTTTTAAACAAATACCATTATTATCATTTCAGTGAAATGGATAATGAGGACATTGACGATGTCCCAGGGAGCACCATATACAAGAAAGTCGTTTTCAGGAAGTACCTTGACAGTACTTTTACCAAGCGTGACCCTCAGGGGGAGTATGAAGAGCACCTGGGCATCCTCGGTCCTGTTATTAGAGCTGAAGTGGATGATGTCATCCAGGTAAGTCAGCGTTCTGAGCGCTAAGGTCACCAGAGGCATTGCCACAAGCACTGTTGTAGGCCATTTACGTATTTTCCAAAATTAAAATAATGACACTTCTCAAAGACTGTTTGCCAAGTAATTTGACAATCTTCAAGAAAAAAATAAAAAGATCTCATAATTTTAGTTCTCCCTCTTCTAAGCTCCTGCTCATTCTGTAACGGCCAGTTCCATTTCCCCCAAGACACTTTCTTTAGCTCCCCCGCCATCTGTCTCCTAATCGCTCAGCCCAGTTGCTCCCACCAGGCACCCCCATTCAGCCCTCACGTGTTGCTTACAGCACCTTTTGTCTCCAGGTTTGTAACTTGAACTCACATGTGCACGCCTTTCTTCATCAGTCTGGTGAAAGCTTATTGTGAGCAAGAACCAAGCCCTATTCCCCTTCAGATCCGCAGCACTTACCAGCACCATTTCATTTGTAGATAATGCCAATACTTTTGCTTTGAGCCTAAGAACAAACATGCTTTGCTGTTTCTGGGAAAAACCACTTGGGCCCTCTCTCACAGGATGGTCGTAAAAATTAGATGAAATAATATACACAAGTTTCTTGCAGCTGTAAGCATTCAGTCTATCTTAGGTCTCATTTAATTACCATTCACTTGGGCATCCAATGCTGACTTCTTTTGGTTTGGAGTTTTGTCAAGCTTAAGTGCATTTGTGGATCACTGTTTTCTCTAGGTTCGCTTTAAAAACCTAGCATCCAGACCTTATTCTCTTCATGCCCATGGGCTTTCCTATGAAAAATCATCCGAGGGAAAGACTTATGAAGATGACTCTCCTGAATGGTTCAAAGAAGATAATGCCATTCAGCCAAACAGCAGTTATACGTACGTATGGCACGCCACCGTGCGGGCGGGGCCAGAAAACCCTGGCTCTGCCTGTCGGGCGTGGGCCTACTACTCAGCAGTGAACCCGGTAGGTACATCCATCGAAAGGCTTTGCCATCCCCCCAACCTTATCACCTGAACCCACCAGGTGGCAAGGTCAAGGTTATTCCTTGTTAAATGCCTGTCTTGCTACCCATGAGAGAGGTATAAGGATTGTGGTCAATGGCCCACAGCTACCGTGGCCAGATCTATGAAGGACAGTGAAAGAAACGGTTCAGTGACGGGGAGTGAAGAATACTGAGATGGTTGGCCCCCGCTAGTGACTACTTTACAGAGAAAGGCATTTATTTGCAATGTCCTTGAACAAGCATTAGCTATCTCCTGCTCCTTCTCTATGAAAGAACTGTAAAGTCAAGACTCCTTCATTTTAGGTGTGGGAGAGAGAGCACAGACTTGAATTTCAATTCCTATCCTGTCGCTTACTGTGTGGTCTCAGGAAAGTTATTTGACCTCTCTCAGCCTCAGTTTCCATAGTTAAAAATGAGATAACAACAGTACCTAGCACATAGTAGGCACTTGGTAATATTTGTTTAATAAATGAATTCTTTTTACCATATAGGATTGTTGTCAGAATTAAATGAGAGACCACAGGCAAAATATTTAATATAGTAGTAGATGCTCAATAAATAGTATTTGTTATATTAGCAGTATTATCAACATTACCATTGCTACCATGTTGAGATAAATGATTAATCAGAGAAAGGGAATATGAATGCCATTGAATTAGGTGATAAATATCCAACCTTATTCAGCTACTTATTTACAATCCTCAAATTCAGAACCTCTAAGGTTTCCTTTCCTACATGATCAATGATTGTAAGCAGGAGAACAAAGAAACTTCTGAAACATATGCGATTTGCTCCTACTGTCTTCCAGGAAAAAGATATCCATTCGGGCCTCATAGGTCCCCTTCTGATCTGCCGAAAAGGGACACTTCATAAGGAGAGCAACATGCCCCTGGACATGAGGGAGTTTGTCTTACTTTTCATGGCCTTTGATGAGAAGAAGAGCTGGTACTATGAAAAGCCCCAAAGGTCCTGGAGACGTGCATCCTCAGAAGGAAAACAGTCCCATGAGTTTCATGGTATTTTCTTCTGACTTTGATCTAATCTCTGAACTGAATCACACTGAGTCACAGTGACATCTGCCCCCAGGTCTCCACAAGATTAGACATGAGGTACTTCTGAGGAACCAGGAGATACAACAAAACTAGGTTCTTAAATGTCTCGGAGGGCTGATGGTGACACCAACCCAGCAGGTGACACTGCAGGTGGAGGAGAGGAAAGCCTGACAGGCAGACAAGGAGGCTGCTGCCAAACAAACCCAAACAAGCCAGCAACAGCCAAAAGAGCCAGTGTGCTTCAGTTAAATGAAAATTGAAAAGGAATCTGCGTTATTCTGCAATTTAAGTAGTTAAGAAACCTGTTTCTTGACCTCTAAAGGGAAATTATTTCTCTAGAAGTGATCACCCATGTGGACTTTCTAAAATAGAAATGGTTGTAAGATTTAGCATTCAGCCATTCCCAGGTGGAACCAAAAGCACAAGAATAAATTGAGTAGGCGGAATGACCTGACCTCCTCTCCCTCTAAAAAGTCACTTGCTGGCTTCCTGAAATTCCACAGCAGTTCCTTTAATTTTAGAAGAACAAATAACAACAGAAACTTCGCCCCCTTCCCAGTCAAATGCACGGTAGTACTAAGCTTTATCGTTAAAATTTTGTATTTTGAAGGTGATCCAGTTTACCAGGTGCTTTAGCCACACACACACACACACACACACACACACACACACACACACACACATTGTTACTTCACTGAGGGGAGTGGATGAAGCCTAAGAACCCTAGACATCCACATTGGGAAGGGGCAGAGTAGCTGCCATACGCAGGAGAGAACAGACATGAATCACTTAGGCCGTGGGTACTGCAGAGATGAAGTCCGACTTCCCAGTTTTGCCTGGAACTACCTCTTAATTTAGGAGGCCTTAGGGTGACGTGCTGCATGTCTCTTTGCTTAGCTCTTTCCTCTAAACACTGGAGTTCCCTTTTCTGGCTCCTACTGGTTTTTATCTTTTTATAGCAGAGGAAATTCATACTATACATGCAAAGGGCAGATGGGTGAAGCACAGAGCAGGCGCAGCGAAGGTCTGGGGAAATGTGGGAAAACTGCTGGGAAAGGGGGCTGGTGTGAGAAGGAGCTGGTGGTTCCCACTGATACTGTGACACATGGGGGCCCTGAGGGCACGGGGCATGCATGCGGTGTCCTAAGGGAGCTGCGAGGTGAGCGGGACCCTCCTATGTCCTTGCCGGCCTCTCTCCTGGTGCACACGGATTTTTACTTGATCCCCGTTGTCTGTCCCTTCAGCCATTAACGGATTGATCTACAACCTGCCGGGCCTGAGGATGTACGAGCAAGAGTGGGTGAGGCTGCACCTGCTGAACATGGGCGGCCCCCGCGACATTCACGTGGTTCACTTCCACGGCCAGACCTTGCTGGAAAATGGCACGCAGCAGCACCAGCTGGGGGTCTGGCCCCTTCTGCCTGGTAAGATCCGGGCCTTAGAAACAGGTCCCCGCTAAAAAATGGCGCGAGAAGGTGATTAGCATCCGTAACTCTCCCTCATTCCATTCCCAACTAGGGCATTTAAGTCTCAGAGGTCGAGCGTGGGTTTGGGCACAGGTCCTGGGCAAGCCATGCCCCAGAGCTGCCTGCAGAGGACAGAAAGGGCAGCTGGTGCATGCAGTGGTCTGCAGCCCTGCCCAGGCTCAGTGTGGCCCCGCTGGGTCTGCAGAGGTGCTATGTGGAATGCAGGTTCTTCCAAGCCACCGCATGTCACACAGGCGAGGCATTCAGCAGATTTCAAAAGCAGCCCCACAGGGCTCATGCAGCTAAAGAGGGGAGGGAGATTGGACATTTATTGGGGTTTGAGGAGTCTCGATTTCTTGACCTCTCCTCCTTGCTTTATCACCGGGCAAGTGATATCTTCGGACAAGTGACTACAGGGATCGTAATCTTCAACTGACTCATACGGCTGTTTGGAGAAAATAAAATTCTGTTTTTAATGATTGTAAAAGCTAAAGAATAATAAGGATACCCTGAGCTTTCCATGTGCGAACCAATGATAAGGTTGAAACAAATGATAGTCAGTTAAAAGACTGTCATGTGCCCATGAGCTGTTGGTAGACGTATCTGTGTTGTCAGGTGTGTGCATGGGGTGTGAGTGCTGGAAGCCACTAACTCTCAAAGAGTAGTGGGCGTAATGCACACCTAAGCAGCCGGCGAAGGTGCAGGTGCCAAGGCAGAGAGTCTGCTCTCAGAGACTCGGAGCCTGTCTTGGACAGACGCCCAGGAATCTGCATTTTTTAACAAGCAGCCTGCCTTCCACAAATGATGTGGCAGAAGCTAGTGAAGGCAGCCCCTTGACAGGACTTTGGGTGAGAGAACTGCTGTGTCAGAGAAGGAGTCTCAGGTGGAGGCACAGAGGTCCCAATGGGACTGCTCTTGTTAAAGGTACAGAAAAAGAGGGCTCTTGTTTGGTATAAACTTGCCAGTGGCTCACCAATAAAGCAAAAAGACCCACTCTATTCAAATCAGGGACAGAGGGGATTAGATCAAACTCACTCCTTTTCACCAACTATCACCAGAGCAGCCAGCCTCTCCACGAGCAACACTGAGCAGCTGGGACTGGCTGGTACCTCTAAATCTTCAACCCTAAGGACCTGCATCGGAGAGGGGCCGGCTGGAGACCTTTCTTAGCATTTGAGGAGGATGACCATCAACTATTGATTTTTACTCACAATCTGGGAAACGATCACAAATTATAGTCAGCAGAATTTACGTATTAACTGGCAGTGGGTAACATTCAGGACCAGAGTGAATAATCATCGTTCTCTCAGGGATGTTCTGAAACAGTTTCTGTACGTCTCTATCCAAATAGGAAAACTTTATCGAAAACTTGAAACATGGGAGAAAGATATTTTATTTTAATTTTCTTGCATAAAAAAAGAAAAACTAGTAAAATGAAGAGAGAAAGGAAACATGGGCAATATTTTGGAGGCTGATGATGGGTCGTTCAAGGTTGCTTCGATACTTAGGACTGTGAAGCTATATTATATGTGGGTTAACGTGTAGGAATTTATTTAGATAAATGAAAGCTTCTTTCTAGTAAGGGATGTTAGAGATTTTTTAAAATCCTGGGGTGATTTATTTGTATTATATTGGGTTGTTGGAAAAGTCATGACGCATTTTTGCAACAAAAAACATAGAAAAAAATACGTCACGACTTTTCCAACAACCTAATAGCAGTGTGTGTGTGTGTGTGTGTGTGTGTGTGTTGTTATTGTTGTTGTTTTGATCTGTTTGGTACACCTCTAGTGCTCCCTAAAGAGAAACAGGTAACTCTTAAGTTCTAGTCTAAAGCTTTTTGTGATGCAGCAATATTAGGTTCCTTTGATAGCTGTCAACCAATAGCAACTTGTTAACCTTTGAGTGTGTAATGTTGTCCTTCACCCTCTATTTTAGGTTCATTTAAAACTCTTGAAATGAAGGCATCAAAACCTGGCTGGTGGCTCCTAGACACAGAGGTTGGAGAAAACCAGAGAGCAGGGATGCAAACGCCATTTCTCATCCTAGACAGAGGTATCAGCCAAGAGCCACATGATATTTTTAGCAAAAGAGTCCTGTTACTAGACTATTACCAACTTTTAGACAGGAAATATTCAACTCAAAACTCTGACGTGACAAAGACACGGTCTGTAGCAGTAACTGCTTTCCTTCTGGCCACGGTCTCATTACACTGCAAACATTAGACATCTAGGAAACTTAAATCAAATGGTTCAGGCCAGAGGCATTCCTCTCAATGGGGGAACCATTATAAAGCATCCTCCTTCATGATTTGTGTGTGATCCATGGGAAAGTGCATGTAAGAAATTCCCCAGATGCCTAGCACAGAAGAGGGGAAAGATACCAGGAATTCAACAACAACCAAGATAGTCACTGAGCTTGGCATTTTGGTCCTCGAGCAGCACAGCTTCCATCTGTCTGTCCATCCAGCCAGCCAGCCAGCCAGAATTTCTTAAGCACCTGTTGAGTACCAAGCACTGTGTCCACATCCAGTGGCCGGTATTCCCGTGGTTGGTATTCCCTTCCATGATCAGGATGTACATAACCCTGTAACTTTCAAGTGAAGTTTTTAGAACATACTCTTTTCAGGGATAGTACTAAGTGTTGGAAAATGGCTTCCTTTAAGGTATAAGCAGCTGGAAATCAGCTTAAAAACGAATTGCATTTCAGGACTTCGGTTGTTTTCCTCTAGGATGTCACTATTTCTATTGAAGCACCAGTCTTGTTAGTGCATTTGCCATTTTAGGATCAGATATATTTAAATCAGTGCTACCCAAGGCAGTTGACAATATCTAATTACTGACCCACCAGAGGTATAACCTCTAGCCATGAAGCTTTTAATACATTTTTTAAATGTATTTTCCAAGCAAAAATTATTCATTGTTCTGTTGTTTTGTAGACTGTAAGATGCCACTGGGACTGAGCACTGGTATCATAGCTGATTCACAGATCAAAGCATCTGACTTTTTGCGTAAGTAGTAGAATCATAGCCCATGAAAGGCACCTTCTACAGCCGTGCAGTGTACAGCCTGCCCAACCATACATGACAGCCCTGCCTGTTGAATCTATGCATCATTGCTCCTCGCCAGGCTTTACTCTATCACAACAGTAAGGCAGCTCCATGCTAATCTAGTACAGGAAGGAGCTAAAAGCCAGACAACACCCCCTTATCATGCCACTCTTCCCAGTGTATACTGTTCCCAAAGAGTGTCTCCCAAGGAAAACCAAGAGCTAGGGGTGTGTGGTCACTCTACCCAGGCAGGCTGACCTCTCAGCAGACTGGGCAAGAGTAGACAGTTTGCTCTTATGACCACATGACCTTTTCCAAAACTCCCCCCACTCCATTCCCATTCTGGGTTTGATCACACACGTAATACTCCAGCCACATTCTTGGGGCCTTAGGGGCCACGTGTTAGAGTCCCCATTACTAGGGCCCTTTGCTGTGCCAACCATTCATCTATTCAAGAAACTTTTTTGATCACACCCTGTGTGTCAGGAGTTCCTCCTAGTTCTCCTCACTCTGCTCAAAGCCCTTCCCACGATCAACAGGTCAATTGCAAGGGACCATGAGGCTCCCATAAATTCCTCCCATGTCTTCCTGGTAAGCAGGCACGCTCAATAGCAACCACATCAACATACCTGAGAAAAGATAAGCATGACCTGTATGCAAGAAAGGGGGTGGGTGGTAGTTGACAGCTGACCAAGCACAGACCTGAAGCTGAGGTTTCATCCTCATGAAGTCAGTATCTGAGGCCTGTGTCAACTGCCTGGTCTCCCTGACTGCAAAGAGGGTCCTCTGAGGATCTGGCTTTCCTCTGGGACTGAATTCACTTCCGAAGTTGCTAATTGTTTGTTTTTTTATTTTAAATTCAGAATAAAGGTTTTTCTTCCTTTGGATTTAGGTTCTTGGGAGCCCAAATTAGCAAGATTAAACAATGGTGGGTCATACAATGCTTGGATCACAGAAAAAATGTCAGTAGAATTTGACTCTAAACCTTGGATCCAGGTATGACTTATTAATCTGATAATATTTACTCCCCTTGTAATAATAAAAATGACACTAATTTAATAATTTCTTCTTGCTGGTCTTGCAGTGTGTTAGGAGAATAGCAATTAGTAGGTGCTAGGCATTCTTCTAAGTGACTAACATACGCAAAATGAGCCCTGTGAGATTAGTTCTAATGACTTCCCATTTTACAGATGGAAACACTAAGGCACAGAGGGACTAACTGACTTCCCAGTGTCACACAGAGCTAGCTAGCGGTTGAGCTGGGACTCAAGTCCAGGTTCTCTGTGCTCAAATACGAATTGCATCTAACCATTTTATCAGTTTGCTAAGGCAGGTGCTGGCTCCTTACTTCTAAGGGAAGATGGCTGCCAGTGTGACTTGTTGATAAGGACAGGCTGTTAATGGTTCTGCTCCATCGCAGGTGGACATGCAAAGGGACGTCCTGCTCACAGGGATCCAGTCCCAGGGTGCCAAACACTACTTGAAGTCCTACTACACCACTGAGTTCCATGTGTCTTACAGCTCTGACCAGACCAACTGGCGGATCTTCACAGGAAACAGCACAAGGAACGTGAAGGTCTGTGTGTGCGGTTTCTCTCCTAGTCCCCAGGCGCACCCTAGGGTGACTCTGACCATGTCCATGACTATTTCTTTTTTAAAAATACTTTTCTGGGTGTTAGAAGTATGAACGGCTTTCTTAGGGCCTTATGAAGGAAAGGGGTAAAATGATGAGTCTGTATATTCAGAGTAAAGGGATAAGCCTGACTTCTGAAGCTTCCAAACGCCACAAAGTTTTGAAAACCCACATCATCAAACTAAATACCAGGCTTCTCAGGCTGGCAGGTGCTATACAGCTGAGGGGAATACCTGGTCTTGTGCCTTAAGGAGCTCACAAGAAAAATATGTCACCGAGAGCTGTGATTTTTACTAACTTTCTAAATTCTAATTTTTTGTATTACCCATACCTAATTTTCTATGTTTTCACTTAGCTTTTTCTAGTAATAATGTTTGCACTATACCTTAAGACAGATCAGAAAAATCATAAATTATAGTATTGGAGAGAGAACACAGATTACAGTTAGAGTCTGCCACTTAAAGATTTTTGCAACTTTATTCATGAGGGATATTGATAGGTAGGTTTGTTTATTTTTGTACTGCCTTTTCTGATTTTGACATCAGAATAATACCAGCTTCATAAAATAAATTGGGACGCATGCTCTTGTACTCTGTTTTCTAGAATAGATTGTCTAGAATTGGTGTTAATTCTTTAAACATTTGGTAGAATTCACCAGTAAAACCATATGGGCATGGGGATTTATTTTCCAGAAGTTTTAAAATTATAAATTCGAGTTCTTTAATAGTTATAGGCTATTCAAATTATCTATTTCATATTGGATGAGTTGAGGTAGTCTGGTTTTCAATAAAGTGGTCCATTTCCTCTAAGTTGTTCAATTTATGGGTGTAGAATTGTTTTCTAGTAGCCCCTGATTTGTCCTTCTGACGTCTGCAGGGTCGAGTAGAATTGCCTATTTCATCTCTGATACTGGTCATTTGCATCTCTCCTCATTTTGCTTTGTTAGTTTTGCTAGAGACTTGCCAATTTTCTTTGTCTTTTCAGAGAACTGGCTCTTTGTTTCATTGTTTTATCTATTTTTTTCCTGTTTTCAATCTTACTCAGTTACTTATTTAGTCTGCTCTTATCTTGTTTTGGCTGCATCTTTCTAACACTGCTGTCCAGGGAAGGAGATGGGGCACAGCCTCACTGCTGACAGCTGGATTAAGGCGGGACTACTCCTCTTTGCTGTGGGGTAGGATGGGATGCTCTCCACTGACACTGCAGGGGTGGGAGCTGGCAAGGAGTCCTGGGTCCCTATTTGGCTTTCTCTGCCACAACCCCATGAGTGTGTTGAGGTGTCTCATCGCAGTCCGGCAGCCATGGAAGTCAAGGCTCCTTGCTTGGCCTTCGCTGCAGCTGGGTGGGTGGGTGGGGAGGGGCCATAGTTGTTCCTAGGGTGTTTAGCTTGAAGAAGATCGATTGTTGTCTAAAACTTTGCTGTAGTACGAGGCTGCCCTTTCTTTGTTCTGAAGCTAGAATAAGCAGGTTTTTGCTGGAGCTGCTTTTGTCTGTACCCATTGGTGTTTCCTGGCTGCTGGTGTCTTCACTTCCAAATCTAGAAGACGAGGCAGAAAGGAAACCCAGGGACCGCAGGAACCATGTTCCTTGGGTCGTAGAATCCTGGCCAGTCTCTCTTCTTCTCGCCGCCTTTCAAAGCCTTCTTATGTTTTCAGTTGTGCTTCACAGGAGGGATAGGGCCGAGTACGTCTACACCACATTCCTGAAGTGAAAGTAACCCCAATTATTTTTTCAAGACCAAATTGATTTGGTTCTGGCCACATGAAAACCTAACATTACAATATTAAAGTAGAACACAACTGTACTATAAAATCACTTTGTAGAGAATTTTTACAGTTAAGCTTTTCTCTTTTCCTCTAGTATTTTGATGGCAATTCAGATGCCTCTACAATAAAAGAAAATTCATTTGACCCGCCTATTGTGGCTCGATACATTAGGGTCCACCCGACTAGGTTCTATAACAAACCGGCCCTTCGACTGGAGCTGCGAGGCTGCGAGGTTAATGGTAAGGGGGAAAGATGCATTGTTATCTGGCCACCACTCGGAGAGTCAAGATTGGGCGGTGTGGGAGGGGGGTAGAATTTTTAGCTCTCTTCCATCACTTAGGCTCCTAGGAAAACCTCTGTGAAGCAGAGGTTCCACTCAGGGAAGCTCTCCTTGTGACCTAGACTGACACCGGTTCTGCCAGCCAGAGGGCAGGCACCATCTCTCTGAATAGTGCCTGGATGATATGGACACCATCCTGACCCTCCAAGGAAGGGCCCCAGCTTAGAATGACCTCCATCTGCCCATTTTCAATAGGAACTGAGATTCAAACTAGGCCCCACTCTTCCAAAGTCCTTCAGGTCACCTACACTTTAGTGTAATAAAAGTATCTAGCAACATTCCTGGCTTGTATTACATGTTCAATGAACGTTCTGGTAATCTAAGTCTGCCTCCCAATGCCCTGAAACCTGATGGGACGCTGTAGTCTGTTTCACCCCCTATGGAGGTACCCAAGACTTTTCTATGCAAGCCGCCATTTTTCAGAGGATGTAATGTGACCGGCAGTATAAATAAATCCAGGTATCCATAAATGGCCATAATAAAATTCTACTCTATATAACAGATATTTAAGAGTCTTATCGACTGTTCTCCTTCTCTGACTCTTACACTAGTGCTTTCCAAAGTTTTTTCACTTCATAGCACATATGGAAAATAATATTTGTCTAGCAGTCTTAGGTAAAAGAGCAAAGCAGATGGCCCAGGGTTTGGCCCATCCAGACACGACCTGGCTGCTCAGGGCAGAGCGGGGAAGGCCCACTTGACACACCTGCTGGGGAGCTACCGTACCTTCTCTCAGGACAGAGGGAAGAGACACGGCTCACAGTGGAGAAAGTCACTGAACCTTGATATCAGCTTATCAAAGCAGCTAAGGTTACAGTATACTCTTGATATTCGTGAGGGATACGGATATGGGCATTGTGCCAATGCCCAGATAGTAGGTAGGTAACATCTCCCCATGAAATGCAAAGTTCGTACAGGCAGGAGCGCTCCTTGAAACAGCTCTCTATAAGTCACTGTGGTTTTTTTGTGATGTAAATGGTGGCTTGTTCAGATGATAGAGTCAAACTGCCCTAAATGGGACATTCAACTCTGTTAAGATCTATTAAAACCTCTATTTTCTATATAAGAAGCATTATTTTTTTTTAAATCTCTTCACTTCCTTGATATTTATATAATTAACATGAGCAATAGGCTTTCTTCTTTTTAAGCTTTCTTAAATTTTTTTCATGGAGAAAGTAAGGTATCACTTCAAGAAAACACCCGCGTGATTTATCAGCAAGAACAAGGTGTCACAAAGATGACAGGATGGGCAGTCAGCTGGGCTCACTCAGTAGCTACAGGTCTTACACTCACAGATCAGCCTTGCTGCCCATGACTTTCCAATTCGCAACTTGGCGAAATTCTAAAGGTTATATACCATGAATCAGCCCCGACAGGCTGAAAATAAAGTATTAAGTGTGATTACCAAGTGTTCCCTCTAACTTCTTTGTAACCCTTATTAGAAAAAGAAATAGAGTTTGTTTTTATATACAAAGACAGGAGTACTGTCTACCTCATACGAAAACCTAACGTTCCATGACTGTGAAGGGCGGAAGAGTTTAGATGCTTAGAACATGACCTTTGGTGTCAGACTGCCTGGCTCAAATTTAGTTTGATTCTTCTAGCAGTGTTACTTTAGGAGAGTTCCTTTTTTTTGCCGTGCTTTTCTCCTTTGCAAGATGGAGATAAATAGGAGTGATAAACAACAGTGCTTGTAAAGCCTGGACACAAACGTTGCTTGCTTTTGCTGTTACTTAGAGTACTGTTATTCCCCACCTCCCTGCAGCACAAAATGCCGTGCAGGGGATCTTGGTGGTGTGCATGTATTTAGTCACGTTATTTTTCTCTTAACAGGGTGCTCCACACCACTGGGTATGGAAAGTGGAAAGATAGAAGACGTGCAAATCACAGCCTCCTCGTTTAAAAAGTCTTGGTGGGGAGATTACTGGGAGCCCTTTCGTGCCCGTCTGAATGCCCAGGGCCGTGTGAATGCCTGGCAAGCCACGGTGAATTATCCCCTGTGAACAGAGCTCTCTCAGCCTTTCAGAAGAAAACAAAGGCTCTTACTACAGGATACCTGGGGGGCCTGGGAAGCCAGACAGTCATCTATTTCTGCACATTATGATCCTAGGGCTGAGAATCTGGGATGTCTTGATAGCTTTACCTCTAACTTTGGCTCACAGAGAAGTTATCTGTCATCTCTGTGGTTCTTTGTCTAGTCTTGATTTATACCAGGAGTGGGCAAAGTTTTTCTGCAAAGCTCCAGGTAGTAAATATTTTAGGTTCTGTGAGCCATACACCCCCTGTCATAACTACTCAACTCTGCCATTGTAGCAGGAAAGCAGCCATAAACATTATGTAAATGAATGATCATGGCTGTGTTCCAATAAAACTTTATTTACAAAAACAGGCAGTGGGCCAGACTTGGCCTTGGGCTGTAGTTTGCAAACCCCTCTTTGAGACAACTTACATTACTGATAAATGATTTAGATTTACAACATCTTCTTTTTATCCCCCCACAATTTAATAATATTTTTCATTTTCTAAAGAAGGCCATTTAAATTTTTTTGTTCCCATTTTTTGAGAACTTTGTGACATTCCTTTAGACCATTGGCAACATGGTAAAATGCTACAAAGCCAGCACTATAAATCAGTGATCTAAGTTGGAAAAACATCTTCCAGACAGCTATATTGCCTCTAATATTAGCCCATTGAGTAATTCAGGTGACTATTAATTGACTCACTTTTATTTCACTCTTCAACTGACCTGAGAGATCAGAATGGCATCAGAATTCAGAACAATCTCATCGACCAACCTCATCCAAGTTCCTTATTTTCTATCCTCCTAACTCCCTCCCTTAGGATAGCTACACTCCACCTCCCTGGACTCTCTACAGATTTCCATATCCTATCCCTACATTAGGTCACCAGGAAAGAAAAGACGACTGTGGTCTGAGCAGAGTAAATAAAGGAGCATGGACACCACATAGACAGTCGTGGGAATCCACGTCTATGCCTTGAAACTCATTTCTGGACCATCTTAAAAATCACAGAATGTTAGAATGGCAAGGGATTCTACAGGGCATCTGGTCCAGACTTTGCCTTTTAAGTCTAAGCATGGAGAAGATTAAATAATTTTAGCTTAGTCTGGTGGCGGAACCAGGAATCCCATTCTCCTGAGACACAGGTCAGCGCACCTTCCACCATTTAAAGCAACCCAAACATCTCATTTGTGCAGTTTTGCAGAGGGAAAACTGAGGCCCGAAAAGTTAAAATAATAAAAGTAATACTGTTATGTTATATAATTTAAAAGATAAAATAATTTAAAAAGAAAATAAAAAGTTAAATAGAGAAAGGAGGCCATCGAATTCATTCCCAGTGACTCTTTAGACCCGTTCATGGTGTAACCCCTTGTCACCCCACCCTCCATTTTACAGCCTTTTAAAAAAATTTGCTCCATATATAATTTGCTCTTAGTCTATGTGAAGTAATAAAGCCTCCAATGATGAAATGCTCATTTTAATTTTGAATGCTGTCATTTTAAATCTGGAACTATTTGTTTCACTTAACCTATTAGCATGAGATGTCTTTATAGGGTCTCTTTAGAGAGGCTGATAATTGAAGCTACGCATATGCAGCCACGCATGCAGACTGAAGTGTCTCTACCTATTTTATGCCTACAAAACTCCTCTAGCTACCTATATTCTGTATCACTAGTACAAACTTGACTTGAAGACACAGTAAAACACCACCAAATGTCACTAGAGGGTGTTATAAAATTAACAAAAGATTATGTCACACAATAATTTTAATGGAATTAATTTTCTTTATACATGCATAAAGCATGTGACTATATGTATACATACATATGTGTATATATGTGTACACAGACAGACATGCACATGAATAATGTTGAGAAAATATATCAATATTCATTGTTTCTTATGGAATTGAATGAGCAAGCGTACAGGGCGTGATAAATCTCCCAAAGTTGAAAATTCACCTCAGATTACTCTAAAACTTCATTAGTCCTGATCCTCCTTCTCTGAGTGAATATCATCAAACATGTAATTAGGCATTTTGCTAGGCCAGGGACAGGACAATCACTATGTTTTATCAAGCCCGAGGTATAGCTTTCTCAGGTCTCTCAAATATTATATTTATTTGAAATACCAGAAAAGAAGAAATTGGACTACTTTTCCTATTTGACATTAGTGGTGGCATAAAAATGAGGCTTTTCTAAAACAAATAGAGAGAGGATACTATCCAATTCTTTTTGAGATAATCCTTTGGTAACAATATCATCATAACATTTAAACAAACTCACTTAACAGAATAATAATTACAGATAATTTATCAACTTAATATTTTTTCTCAAATAAATTTTATTTATTTGTTTACAACAAATATTTGTTGAACACCAACAGTGTGTCATGCATTGAGATAAGTACCTAGAAAAAAACTAAGTCAGTCCTTGTCCTCAAAGAGTAAGGGATACGAACAAATAAACAAATAATGATTGTAGAATGTGTGAGATACTCCCATAGAAGCTAATCTGTGTGCTGTGACAACAAACATGAAGGAACAGGGAAGTCTTGAAGGAGACAGGGAATCATAAGGGAAGAGGCGAAAGACATCCTTTGAGCTCTGTGCATTTCTGAGTATCTTAGTCTAAAAAAGCCAAGGTTTTAGCTTCTATCTTACCCATGTACTCTTCTTATCATGTTCATAGGCAAACAACAACAAGCAGTGGTTACAAATTGACCTGCTCAAAGTCAAGAAGATAACTGCCATCGTAACCCAGGGCTGCAAGTCCCTGTCCTCTGAGATGTACGTGAAGAGCTATGCCATCCACTACAGTGACCAGGGCGTGGAATGGAAACCTTACAGGCAGAAATCCTCCATGGTGGCCAAGGTACAGGGTGGTATCTGGGCAAAAAGAAAGCAATTGGAAAACGATGTGACAATGAGCATGGCACTTGCGTTTGCTAATAGCTCTTTGCATCTGGGTTGGTTTTGTTTATTTCTCACTGTACCAGGATGTCCTCATAGCTGAGGACATCACTTTTCAAAACAAACAGTGATTACACATAGCTTCTGCTGTGTATAAATCTTGGGGAACTTGCTGGGGATGCAAAAAAAGTGTGTGTGGGGGGACACAGTTCAGCTGAGGATATAGGGTATATCTGGAAAAGAGAAATAAAAACGCATGGTTGCATTTTAGTTTCAATGTTAGCAATAGCAAACATTTACTGGTGCCACAGTCTGGCACTTACTGGGCACTTGTCATATGTTTACATACTTTAAAAAAAAATCCTTACAACTTCTATGAGGTAAAATTTTATTATCCCCATTTTGCCAATGGAGGATGGAGAATCAGAGAATGTAAGTAACTTGTTCAAAGTCACATAGCTGCCAAGGGCCTACCAACACCATATCAAGTGTCTTTATTTCTCCCTACCTCAAACTCGGATCATTGGTGAGGCGAAGTCCCTAAAGAGGTCTGTCTGGAGTGTGAACCCATAATTGACTGAGGGTCATCTCGGTGTTAATGTCATGTGTTCTGCGATGCCCTCAGTTTGAACTAAAAGGATAAAAAAGTGACCCGTAAGATTTTTATACCCTTTATACCATCATTGAGGACTTCCTCATATTTTGCTTTCAGATTTTTGAAGGAAACAGTAATATCAAAGGGCATGTGAAGAACTTTTTCAACCCACCAATCATTTCTCGGTTTATCCGCATCATTCCCAAAACATGGAATCAGAGTATTGCTCTTCGTCTGGAGCTCTTTGGCTGCGATATTTACTAGAACTGAATACTCAGAGATGGGAAGGACTCGTGAAGGTATCGAACCATTTAGGGTGGGCAATGCATTTCATGGCTATCTTGAATTCTCTATTAGAAAATAAAATTTATATATGAAGTTTTATAAGGTAACTCTTTGCTATCATTAAGTAAGATGATGGCTGTTATTTCTGCATTAATTTGAACATAAATGGGAAAATATCAAGAACCAACACGAAAATGGCTTGTCTTTCACACTGATTAAATATGCTGTATAAAGTAATATTCATGTAGTTAACACTCTCCGTGATAGTTCTTTTAAATCCTAAACACATTAATAAAAGAGATATTGTTTTTTAAAACAACCTCTAGACCTGGATAGCTTTCACTCCTACAGTTTTCTTTAAAGAAACTATGATCTAAGAGTAACGGACACAAATTAGATTTTTAAATGGTTGACCTTTCTTGACAGTGGAGAGAAAAGCAATGTTCCCATATGAACCGGCGAGTGCTTAAAATGCTCAGTCTCACCCACATGACAATGATTTTCCTGACGCTCCATGAGGAAAGATACAAATAAGCATATTTTCAGTAGTCCTGGGGGACTTGTGAATCTGGCCTGGTCTCCTTCGGGAATGATGGCACATATGAGGGGTCATTAGGCATGGAACAGAAACAAAATTACCATGGGAGAACTGAACCAAAAACCGTGGCTTCATTCTAGCTGACGCTACATCGCACCACGGCGCACACGTTCAAAACATAGGTTCACCTAAGCGAAAGCAAATATCAGCATAAAGCGCATTTTTCACTATGTAATGGGCCCCACACATAATATAACTAGTCCTGGGTCCCTCTACTACAGAAATGGGCGGGATCTCTTCTGATCTAGAGTCTACCGAGGGATAACAGGGGCAAGAAAATCATGTGGAATGCTAGGGAGGAGAAGAAATGAGAATGGAATGCATGATCCAACTTCCTTATCCAATATATGAAAAAATGAGGCCACAAAGGTTCAACAGCCGCCTGAGGCTATTGGGTGTTCCTATCAGGGCTGAAACCAAAAACCAGATGATGAGACTCCTAGGCTCTCTTTCAGTCTGGTCTCTCTTGCATAAAATGGAAATTATAATGACTATCATTCATCCTCCCAGGCAGGTAGACATGACTATTAATTAATAAAAACTATTAATTGATCTGAAAATTACTTGTTTGGGGATCAATGAGATGTTTGAGTTATAGCTGATCTGTGTGGAAATATTATAATCCCTCTTATTTTGAAATAAAAATATGTTTTTATTCCTCTCTTTGAAGTCATTTAGACGAAATTACAACTTTCACCATACAATATATCTTTCAATGACATAACACAGTCCACTGTTCGTTATATCATAACTGATTGCTATGGAAAAGAGATAAATGACTCAGCAGCATCATGACTTGGAAGAAGAACTGAACAGATAAAATCTAAGCATTACTAATCATTCTAATTGAGAGTTGGAAAAGAGGGGCTGTGAGTGTATCTCAAATACAAAAAGGTCAGAGGAAACATGAATTCGTTCTCCAGGATTTTTTCAAGTTGTTAAAAGTTCATGCCACTTTTTAGACTAACTTTGAATAATCACTATATTTTGAGTTCAGAACCATTTTGGCAAACTCAGGGCAAAAACGTTAATCAAATAGCTTGGATCCTCCCAAGAACCATGAATGTTTCACCATTTACTTTGCTGGATGGACCAAGAAGAAGCAAGTCATGGACAGTGGACTTTGGTTCTACAACTGGCGCATGCCCTAAAGCAGTGGACCTAATACACACTTACAAATATCCAAGTTTCTTGCTACCATTTTTGTTCCCCCTCTCCCTCCCTTACAAAGAGTTCTTTCATGGAAAATCCTGAATGCCTAATTCTCACAATAGACTAGATGTAGGGAAAGCAATAGGACATAGGCAGACAAAACGACTGTGTGAAGTGAGATTTGCATTGTCAATGTCCAGGAAATGAGAAAGATTCTCATATCCATGTACCGTGCTGGGAGAGACTAGAGATTTAAGATTTGATATCTCTTGGGTGTATAAAATGTGCTCACCAAAAGATATACAGCATTTTTCATTTGTTATATGGAAATAAAACAATAATATTAACCTCCCTAGAGGTACCACCATCTTAATTTTAAAAATATATGTATTAAGTGTTTTCTCTCTACACAACATGGCAGGCATTGTAGGGGAGAATATATAAAGAAAATTAAAAGATGTTGCTCTGGCTCTTTGAACATGTACCATCTAGCTGAATAGAGAAGACAAGCATCAGAAGCAAATACGGACTATGGGCAGATTACACACTGAGTGATACAAGGTCAATCCAAGGAGTAATCCATGTGGGATGGAGTCAGACTGTGAAAACTTTTGGAGAAGGTGATTTGACCCAGACCTTGAATACCTTGGACATATATTAAGGCAACCTGTGCAGAACCCCAAAGAATTGGATTGAGATGATAAGGGTCAGTGAAAACTGGAGAAGTATGAGCTGTGATCAAACAATACGGCTGAGAAAAAAAGATTATTGGGCCGGCCGAGTGGCTCAGTTGGTTACGAGCTCGCTTGGGAGCACCAGCTCTGAGCAGCAGGGCCATGGTTCGGATCCCACATTAAGGGCCAGTGACGCTTCACCCTCTACAGCTAAGATGATGAACAACAGCTAGACCTGGAGCTGGGCTGCTGTGAGCCGCCAGTGACGGCGTAAGCTGCAGTGGGGCTGCAGTGGGCTGCCTTGAGCTACATGAGTGGCTGGCAGCCAGTGTGAGCTGCCAGAAGCCGGTGTGAGCAGTCAACCAATGACCAGCGACCGATTGCCTCACCCGGGAAGAGCACAATGATCATACCAACATGGGCCAGTGAAACGATGTCCTCCACAACTAGACTGAAGAACAAAACAGCAACTTGTCTACTTGTCTGTTCCCCTTCCTCGATTCCCCAACACTGTTCCCCTCCCCCAATTCCCCAATAAAATCTTTAAAAAAATTATTAAAGTAAAAGACACATTGCTATTAATCTTCCTAAAAATACTCCCCCTCACTTTGAACACACTTATCCCATTGTTCTTGTCATTTTCTGAAGCAGTTCTGGAAGTCCTCTTTCGTGAATGTCTTTAGTTGCGCTGTCGTGGTGGCCTCAATGTCCTGAATCATTTTGACTTTGGGGAAGAGCCTGAAGTCACACGGTGCCAGATCCAGTGAGTAAAGTGAATGAGTAAAACACCATAATATTTTTATTTGACAGAAACTATCATACCAGAAGCAATGTGTGACACAGAGCGTTGTCATGACGAAGGATGATTTATAGCACACTTTAAAACCCACCTTCTCTCAACCATAGCTCACACCTGACTGACTGCACTGAACAAGTTGAAACTTGTCACATACTGTTACTAAGGTTCGACACACCGCTTCCCATATTAAAGATCCCTGCCTTTCTGTTGGATGGCACTTGGCAGCAGCATTCACCATATTTTCTGATCATAATGGAAAGGCTCCATGTCACACACCGCTTCTGGTACGCCAGTTTCTATCAAATAAAAACATTATGGTGTGTCCTCATCCACCTTATTCACCGGATCTGGCACCATGTGACTTCTGGCTCTTCCCCAAAATCAAAATGACCATGAAAAGTAAACATTTTGAATTAATTCAGGATGTTGAGGCAGCTACAAAACAGCGCAACTAAAGACACTCACAAAAGAGGATTTCCAGAACTGCTTCAGAAAGTGGCAAGAATGAGGGGATAAGTGTGTTCGAAGTGGGGGGAGTATTTTGAGGGGGATTAATGGCAATGTGTCTTTTACTTTAATACTTTTTTTTATTTAAACATTCAACATATTGTTTGATTACAGCTCGTATATGAGCTTTATGTTCAAATTCAGGACCCTGTCAGCTTTCCCTGACATACCCACCCATTCTCCCTGCTCCCTGGGTACATAATCTGATAGTGGCTTATCCACCCACCTCTCTCCACAACCCCCAGTCCCTGCACCAAACCCCTAATCAGTGTATTTGTAAGGTCAAAAGAAAAAAAAAACAGCTACCTGGGAGGACCTGATGACGTGAGGGTAGGGGAAGATAAACATACAGATACAAAACATATCCTTAACCTGCAAACTGTGAATGATAGATGGTGGTGACCAGGTTAAAAGTGGGTCACTTTTCGTAGTGTTATGGAAGATGCCACATTGGACAGGATTCAATCTGTCTTGCTCAGGGTGAGAAGACGAGGCATGCTGATCAGAGGGAATGGCAATGGAGTAGGGAGACGGTGGATAAACGTGTGTCCTGTGTGGGAAACTGACTAATCTAGAAATGAGAATCGCACAGGTATATATGGATACGATTTTGAAGCACTTGTGTGATTGTTCTCTTTTGTTTTGTTTTCCACTAGCCCACACTTGATCTGCCTCATTCACATGCGCTTTCGTATTTTACATTTAGGGGCAGCTCAATGTCCCAAGAACGGCATGCAGACAATTTTATACACTCACCTGCTTTTTTTGACAAGAAATTTGGTAATGGGTTTACCTGTCCTATTTATCTCAACTGGTATTCCCCCTTGTTGACCAAAGAGGCTTTCGAAAAGTCTGGAATCGGACAACCATGTTTACAGATGTGACAGATAAGAATGTAAAATTTTCATTTTCTTCGCAGTCTTAAGGAAATAGTGACAAAGGCTATATTTCTATGTGGAGTGCTTATACTGGCCCTTGGCACATAGTAAGCACTATGTAGGTATTGATTATTATTAATATTAACATTATTAATAATGATAGTACAAATATGATATACTATTATATCAATATAATGGTATTATTACAAACAACTGTTATTAACTTCTGCTGTATCGAACACCTTGTTTTCTACCACTCATTGCTTTTTTAAAATTGTGGTTAAATGCATATAACAAAAATGGTTGGAATGGTAAGTTTTCTAAGTGTGCAGTTCAGTGGTGTCACATGCATTCGCACTGTTGTGCAGTCGTCATTACTTTTTATAGCTGTTCTATTTTCTACCTGTAACTCCATGCTTTTTCCAGTAGGTGGCAAGTCTGGTTCAACTGTATACCTAGCCAGGGTTCTGAGGACTTTTCGCACAGAGGTCAAGCCTTA